CATCGGCTATAGATGGATTTATTGCTTAGTTCATCCACTGACTGGGAAATTACCAGTGGAACGTCTTCCTGGCCCAGAACCCAGTTTATAGTAAGGATATTTTTATATTCAAGCCAATCATGTGATGAATTCCCAGACCTATTATGCAGACCTGTTTTTATTCCTTTTTGTTTTAGGAACAATAGTGAGAAAACTGGCATATTTTTTCACTTTTAATTTTTTGATTTAATATGAAACAAATGAAAGAATGAATGTTACAGGGATTAAAGACGTAGGACATAATTCTCCTTTTTCAGCTGAATTTAGGCCTCAGCAGGTGCTTGTGTGAAGCTGATAGTAAACACATTTTAGATGCAAATGAGACATTTGGTTATAAAAATAGCTCTGGGTGTCTATGTGCATTTTAACAACCTCAGCAGAACAAAGGGCAGAAAGTGATGTAGAAAAGAGAAACAGTTTGCTTCTATAGCGACTGTCCAGCAGCCCGCAGTAACGAGTAGAGCTGATCATGACGGCCCAGAGGAAACACAGGAAACATGCGCCAAGCCGGTGCTTCCAAAACCTTTTTGACCCTTTGAGCATTTGTCTGACCATGAATTCCCTCAGTCAAAAGTACTGATGACACAAAAGTGGAAAATACAATAACTATAAAATAAAACTTATTTTATCTAATCGTTTTCACCAAAGCATTTAATTCTTTAATATGTTATTCTTTCCAACTCTAATAAGCAATCAATATAAATAAAATCATACCATAAATCTGCCTTCATAAAACCGCAGCTCCTCTCAGTAACTTCTCTATATCGATGCTCTAAGTGACCAAAATCTGCTGGCTGGAAAACCCAACAAGGACAATTTAGAAACACATTTCTATGAACACCTGAAAAATAAAAAGTTTGTTCTATTTGTTGGCGAGTTTCTCAACATCAAGTAGGCCAACTCTCGATGGGAGTGTTGGCCTAGCGGTTAGAGCAGTGCACTTCAGCTCTGAGAAGGTTGAAATGAGCTGGTTTGATGCTCACAGCCTGCACTCTGGGTCCCTGAGCAAGACCTTTAACCCAAAACTGCTCTCTGGGCGCTGCACAATGGCAGCCCACTGCTCCCTAAGGGGAGGGGTTAAAGGAGAAGTCCAGTCTTATTCAGAATTATAACTCTAATTTCCAGTTACTGATCTGTTGTTGCCATGTTTTAATTTGACAAACCGGATCGTCTCTAAGTTCTTTTTCCTGTTTGTTGTGATTGCAACTGCGGATCTTGACCTGGCCAGACCTGAACGGAGCAATGAATAGCGTGGCTCCGTATTTTTACTGCGACGGATGGAGAAGACGTACGTGGACGGTGGCGTGCAAAGGAGTAGTGGTGGATGTGGAACAGCTCTCATTGGTTTAGATGGAAGAAAAAGAACTCCACTCGACATACGTGAGCGGAGCGCTGACAGTATGTGGAATCTGAGGGTTTGACAAACTTTGTCACTTTTTATACAAAATGAAATTACATTGCTTACAGTGAAATGAACATCACCATTTATAAAGTGCAGCAGTTATCAGAATGTAACCAATGTAAGAGAAAAGGAAACCAGTTTAAAAATAATGGTGCAAAAGGGCATTAATACATAAAGGGTCAGTGCAAAACAGCTATGGTGCAAAATGCAATAGAACATCGAGGTATTTCTAATTTTAAATGATTTTAAACGTTTCAGTGACGCTGGTAGTGCAAAGCAATGCTGTGAGTGTGACGCAGTTTAGAGTTCTAACAGTTCAACAGTCTGATGGCGGCAGGGAAAAGCTGATGCAGAACCCGCTGGACCTCCAGCAGATGCTGCAAAGCCCCTTCCCAGAGGGAAACGGCGTTCCAATGAAACCGGAAAAGAAATTACTTTAATTATTAAATTAATACAAAAGGGGGTTTTCTATATCTTTTTTATGCAGCATCAACCACAGCACAGCACCAGACTTTCAACCTAAATCAACGTTCACCAGAATGTGTTAGCTTACGCTATGATGCTTGGCGTAATCTTATTTAAATACACATTTTCTGCACACCCAGCTGGCTCCTCTTCCTGAGTCTGGACCTGCTATTCGGTTTGTCATGTTAAAACAAAGTGGTTCCTCTCCACCGTCTCCCTGTGCTTGCTGAGGAGCTGCAACTGCATCCAGCAGAGAAACCATGCCATCTCCAGGCTTCATTTTTTGAAAAACAGATGTTTTGCTAACTGGAATAACACAATCTACTACAGCCAATCATCACAAAGATAAATGATTTAATTAGATTTAAATCTCAATGTATCCCACTGAACCAGATCTGATAGAACATATGATCATGATGTTAACGTTTCTCTTGCTGCTGAAAACACCTCAATTTCCTCACTGTTGCCTGATAAAGGATTTTTTTCCCTTTTTTTTATTTTTTTTTTTATAATTATAATAATAATAATAAATTTTAGTTAGCAGCGCCTTTCTTGACACTCAAGGTCACTTTACAAATAATACAAAAGATAAATAAAAAGAGATGAAAATACAAAATACAGATAGAGGAACATGAAAACAAAAAAAACAATCATGGATAGGGAAAAGAGCAGTATATTCATAGATAAGCGAGCTGGAACAAATCTGATTAATAGATTATTTTCCCAAAATACAATTTCACAATAAAAATGAAAAAGGACGGATTCCTTTCAATAACTAGCTCTGATTTAAACCCTCCCCTTCAGGTGGTGACCTTAATTCAAAGGGGAATGAAATTCAAGCTGTAAGCTTGTAAGATAACGATGTTTCATAACAAACTTTGT